TAGGAGTTGGGACGGTATGCTGAGGTTGTACAGGACATTGGTGAGGTCTGGAGTAGTGTGTGCAGTTCTGGTCACTCTGTTATAGGAAGGATATTATTAAATTGGAGAGGATTCAGAAAGGATTTAATCAGGATATCGCTGGTAATGTGTTTTTTTTTGAAAAAGAGAATTAGATAAGAACCTGAAGAAAAGAAATTATAGAGTTACAGGGAAAGAGAAGGGAATAGGAGTAGCTAAACTGATCTTGTAGAAAGACAGCATGGACTTAACGGGCCAAACGGTCTCATTTTTTGATTAGGAAATCAGCTAAAAGCCGGAAGTAGAGAGCAGGGATAATAGACAGACACTCCAACTGGCAGGATGTGAGTAGTGATGTTCCACAAGGATCTGTGTTGGGGTCCCAACTATTCAATGTATTTATCAACAACTTAGATGAAGTGATAAAGAGTTACACATCCAAGTCTGATGATTACACAAAACAAATGGCATCGTAAATGAATATATAAATTTACAAAGAAATATTGAGCAGAAAATCAAAGACACTTGGCAGTTTGTGTACATAGATTATTAAAACATCATGAACAGGTCCAGAAAAAAAAGACAAACCAGTTACTGGGATGCTAGTCTTCATATCTAAAGGACTAAAATACAAGGAGGTAGATGTTGTGCTACATTTCTACAAAGTTCTGTCTAGATAATGCCTGAGGTACTGTGAGCAGTTCTCAACATCACATCATAAAAAAGAAAAATTGGCCTTGGGGAGAGTGCAGAGTAGTGTTACCAGAATGTTACCTGGACCCAACGGGTTAAATTACACAGACAGATTACAATTTGGAAGGTAAAGGGATGATTTACTCAGATTTCAAGATTAAGGGGAACAGGTACATTTATTAGAGAGAAACTATCTGCTGGTTGGAGAAACTAGAGTGAGGGCATATTGTCCAAAAATTAGAACCAATATTTGAGGAGTGATATTAGTAAACAATTGTTCATGCAGAAGGTGAAAAATGTTTGTAGCTAAATTGCAATTATTCCCAAAGGTAGCCCTGTACATTCTCAGTAATGGTTATTTAAAGTTGACTTCCATGAATCATACAATATTTTGTGTAGAAAACCACCACTTAATCGGTGCTTCACATCAGAGTTGACTGCAAAAATCCTAACACTTTGCAAATGTGATTCTAGTGTTTATTTCTTTCTCCATTAAATACTATGTTTGATTGAGCTTCAATCATCACTAGTGGCTATTCCTTCTAATATCTCTTGCTATGTTTCTATCATTGAGGAGGCTAACTCCACATCAGGTTTTCAGAACTCAATGACTCCTCACCTTCTAATGTGTGCTAACCCAAAACAGTTGCAGTGGGTCAAACAATACTATCTTGAGACTTTACTTTTACTGTTGCAGGCTTTTTTTTCCATTATTGGTAAGTTATGCTCACAACAGCTTGTCATTTTCAGCTACACTAGCCTTCACTGGTAGGCCTGCTATGAACCATGCTGAGAGGGAAGCCTTTCGCCACTGGGATCACATTAGATTTGTGCAGAGATTTATTCCATGTCCACATTGTACCACTTGTCAAAAAGTCTGCACCTTTATATTTTCAATGCAAAGCTATTAATTCAAGGATGGAAATGAACTTCTTCATACTGCTTCATTACCGTTACCATGTGAAAAGCAACCATGAAACTACACTATTGTGTCAACTTTGTATGATTACGTTTCACCCTTGAGGCATTTTCTATTTAAAGATGCTGTATAACTGCAAATTATTGCTGAATATGTCTCCTCCCTTTGCTGCACATTGCAAGTGCTTCTGCTTGTATTTCTCTTACACATTTTTCACATTGATGGCTAAATCAGATCACAATAGACCACTATTACCAAAAATATCTCATTAATCTTTATTTGTCAAATTACATGTATCAATTCTAATGCAAATTATTTACTCGGTACTGCAACCTTAGGTCTTATATGATCAGGGTTGCTTGGAAAGAAAACTCCAGGGTGCTGACCTAAACTGTAATCTAGTACTTCATTCAGCAGTTGTGTTGTACATCACAGTCAATGTGTTTGACACTCAAAATGGGCACAGTAGGGGGTAAAATAATTGATTTTTCAGCTGCTCCAGTAACTTGTGCTGAAAATGACTAAGATCCCAGGGGCTTATTCCCCTTTCATTGCCCTATTAGATGCCAGTATGCATTCTTTAACAAAGATTAAGCCATCGTTCAAGAGGTTGAAATATTAATATGGGTCATGACATACCAATCCATCAGTACTCTGTTTGAGTACATAATATATTTTCTCATTTCAAAATCAGAAAGGTCACATAATAACTTTTTTTTCCTGTTTTACTGAGCAACAATGTGGAATTTGTTCAAGTTAATCTGTGCCTAACAATCTAAAGTCGATAGTTATGGAGATGGTTATTTCCAGAGAGTTACAATTTTCTTCAAGATTCACTTTTATCATAACCCCTCATGAGGAACACAGATAAAATTACATGAACCTGTTTCATAGATGAAAGATAGTGTTAACTATATTTGCATCTGATATAGCCAAACATTAATATCTCACCTAAATTAAATATAGATGTCTTATCCTGTCAAAGAATTTTAATCGTGATAATCTGTGGGAAATGGGGAGGGAAGGATTGCTTGCCAGCTAAATCTGGAAGTTTGGGTTTCCAGCAATTCCTGCTGAATTTAAAACAGGTCTTGCAATTAAATATTTCTCCAGCAAGTTTGACAACTGCAACCAACTAGATTGGGTGCGGGGCGAGAGTCAGCTAATTGCTGAAGTTCAATAAACTGAGTGTGCTGGGGGAAGCATTCCCATTCTTCATGCCTCCCTTCTGATGTCATAATTTCTATACGCCATGGAAACACAGGCATTAAAATTAAAAGTAATGTTAAAATGGGGTCACACAACCTCCTGAAAATACCCCAGTGACAGATATGTCACCTGGTCACCACCCCTGACCCACATTTGTTAAAATTCATTGTTGGCAGATTGTCCATTCCTTTTATTTCTAACTTCGCTTAAGGACAGGAAGATGAAAGGAAAAAAGGCAAGGAAATACTGAGCAATGAACTATTACTAGCTGGTTGTGATCCACAACTACATCACATTACAAAAAGAATATATGGTTTATCATTGACATCAGTATCTTTAGTCTGCTCCGCTTGTCTGAGGATTTAAGATACATTTCAACAGTGCAAATTCAGACCATTGTTAGAGGTTAATTAGAGTGATGCAGCACATTATTGCAATGTACTATATTACAAAATATTCAGTGTACTTTCTTTAACTTAGTTTGGAATATTCATTCTCTTGCCTCCAGCATCTGAGAGAAAACATGATCAGGTCTGTTGTTGCTCTGAAAGTTGGCTTAGGCATGTGAGGGAATTGTTATCTATCCAGAATATGTTTATCTTGTGATCTAGAGAGGTTATGTAAAAGAAAACGGGACTTTTTGTTCGTTGAAACTTATTTCTTTAGTCACATAACTCAATTATCATTACTTACCATGCGACTGCATCATGAACTGCCTTTATATTATTTCGGTTTCCATGTAATCAATTATTCCAAATATTTTTCATTTGGTCAGAATAATTTCCTCATTAGTAGGGAAAGGCATATCTCTCCAACTTTACCTGCACGGGACTCCCTGACTTCTGATTGCTGCAGTGGGGAAAGTGGAAGAACAGCCCAAATCAGATGGAATGCTCTTCCGGAAACCAAACATGGATATGGGTCCAGAATGAAATTTGGTGTGTTACCACCACATACAAACAAAAAGTCACTCGTCTGCCCAGCTGCATCAGATCATCATGATTGTGAAGCCATATTACAGTGTAAACATAGGCTATGATGGAACAATGGCAACAGTATTGCTGCAAAGTATGATATGTAATGATAGCATTCTCACAATTCTCTCTGCCCAGTTAAATGCTCTCTTTCTCTTCAACTTGATTTTAGGATTGAGTACCAACCACCATGCGCTTATAATAGACAACACTTTAAGAAAGTTACGGAATTTCTGTAAATGTATTACATATCAAACATTTTAACTATACCTTATCATTAAATAGAATTTTATCATACTGTTTTCAACAGGTATGCGGAGGTTGCAAACGAATGGATTCGGGTCTGTATTCACTGGGTGGAAATCAATACTCATGGCGGTGGGTCCAACCATTAGTTGGAAAGCCAGTGACAACCTTACAGTACCCAGTCCACATTCCTGATTCAATTTAGTGCCAATTAAGTATATATCAGGTTGATGATGTGCTTCGTCACATTCTGGGGAAATTTCTCACCTCTGAGAACTGACAGCCAAAACGTACTGCCATGAGCAGTAGCTGCTGCCTATATTGCAGCAAACACAGACTGTAGGATTGTTGCTGGACCCCAGAATAAACGTGGGTAAGACATTGCAAGGGGGGGAGTGTGGTATCAGTTATATTGGTCAATACCAGTTGTATTTGGATGAGATTTGTAAGTGGGGACCTGAAGACCTTAATTGTCTTCACGGCCGAAAGGTGATCCCCCAGTATTCCCTTCCTGTATTTAAATCTGAGGTAGGCTGGAGGGGGGAAGAGTGGTTTGAGGAGAGTGGGGAAGTCAGCTAAGTGATGGGATTCCCGCAGTTAAAAAAGGTCCCACCTCCCACCAACTAGCTCATCTCTAGTGGGAGAATTAAATTCTGCCCACCATCTGAAAGGAGGAAGGGGTAAAGGAGTCAGAAAAAATGCCTCACCTCAGAAGACATGGTATGTCAGAGAGCCTCATGAATGGAGTCACAGTATTTTGAGAGCTTTCCTTGCACCAGTTGCACTAATAAGAGCATGCAAGTCATGTATAGAATCCAAGAGTACAAAAATCCATCAAACATAGCATAATCTGTTCAGGGCATCACACATATAATGACATCAATTTATCCAAATTTCAAAAATTTGAAATTAACTTTCAGTAAAGAAACAGTTGTCCTTACCTTGTCTATCATATCTGGCCTGTTGGTGGCTGCCAAGATTGTCACATTATGGAGCTGTTCAATCCCGTCCATTTCAGTCAACAATTGTGCAAGGACTCGGTCAGCCACATTTCCAGCACCAGCAGAGCTGAAACAAAACACAGGATCAGAATGTTTTCAACAATGCTTAAGAAAAATTCTTCAATTAGAACTCGCTAAACTCAGAACTGAAAATTTCTCTTCTGACCTCCTCAGAAACACAGATGAGTACAGCAAGTTTTACTGTTGAATTCTTGTCTCATCTTGTAGTTTTTACTTCAGGGGCATTCAACACACAAGAAAAAGCAAATACTCAGAAAAAATGCATAACTGTTCAATATAACTTACAGACTATTCAGAAATGGCATAAGGACTGGAAAGAGGTTTCATTTCCTTACCGTTAATTACTTTTTAAAATACTAGGACAAGGTAAAGTGTGTTGTTGAGTAATATGTTTTTTTATTTACTCTTTTCATGCATTCAGTTCTTGACAATATTGTTATGAGATGTGCCTTTAAGAAGAATTTGTTCTGTCATTTTTTTTCAAAGGAAGTGTTATATATTTGGAGCTGAACTGTCTGCTTTGAGCCCAGCAAGCTTTGGAAATTTTTTGAAAGTTGAAATAATAGAAGCACCATAAAGGGGTGAGGTCAAGCTCCCATAGAACCAGGATCTTAGTTTTAGCTTTCAGTAGTTGTTGGAGTCATGAAGCTAGATGTGGAAGCTGTTATTCCTCTCTCTGTTACAGCTAAAAGTTTGGATTCTCATCCTGAAACCAGAATTGTACGTGAAATAATCTATTTTACTGAATTTGCATTTGCAAAGGGTGTGTGTATGATATGTTCCTATATTGGAACAGTTGCTGTTAAGTAGATAAATAATCTATTATTCTGTTGAGTTTTCTAATAGAGTTAAATTATTTCAGCTCTTCTTTCCTTTGTTTGTGTTTTAACTATAGTGTAAAAATATAGTGTGTTTTGCTTCAAGCCTGGTAGCTTGACCAATCAAATTGCATCCAAAACACAATACCTTAAGCTTGCCTTTAAAAATAAGAAAAAGTTGGAATCTAGGCTATCTTCATCATATATTTTGAGCGAGTTTGGTCTGGTCCATAACTAATATTAATACTCAAAACGTTAACAGTTGACTAATTTTGAGGAGTTCAAACTCCAAGATGTAATTAGGATGGAAAAATCTAATCTCTGTCAAAATTAACTAAAATATAGTTTCCTTGAGACAATTTTATTTAAATATTACCAGTGGAATAATTTTTAGACCCCTGTTAAAATTGTCAAATTCTACAATTTAGAATCTCCACTTAACCAAATTCACGCTAAATCCATCTACATGAATAATTCACAAGTGTCATCCAATTACAGTTTGAACAATTCCTTTGCCTCCGCCGCATCTGCTCCCAGCATGAGGCATTCCACTTTCGTACATCTCAGTTGTCCTTGTTTTTCAAGGACCGTAACATCCCCCCCTTGGTGGTCGAGAACGCCCTCAACCGTGTCTCCCACATCTCCCGCACCTCATCCCTCACACCCCGTCCACGCAATAAGAACCAAAAAAGAATCCCCCTCGTCCTCACGTACCACCCCACCAACCTCCGGATCCAACGCATCATCCTCTGACACTTCCGCCATCTGCAATCCGACCCCACCACCAAAGACATCTTTCCCTCCCCACCCTTATCTGCTTTCCGGAGGGACCACTCTCTCCGTGACTCCCTTGTCCGCTCCACACTCCCCTCCAGCTCCACCACACCCGGCACTTTTCCCTGCAACCGCAGGAAGTGCTACACCTGCCCCCATACCTCCTCCCTCACCCCCATCCCAGGCCCCAAGAAGACTTTCCACATCAAGCAGATGTTCACCTGCACATCTGCTAATGTGGTATACTGCATCCGCTGTACCCGGTGTGGCTTCCTCTACATCGGGGAAACCAAGCGGAGGCTCGGGGACCGCTTTGCAGAACACCTACGCTCGGTTTGCAATAAACAACTGCACCTCCCAGTCCCCCTCCCACTCCTCAGACGACATGTCCATCCTGGGCCTCCTGCAGTGCCACAACGATGCCACCCGAAGGTTGCAGGAACAGCAACTCATATTCCGCTTGGGAAGCCTGCAGCCCAATGGTATCAATGTGGATTTCACAAGTTTCAAAATCTCCCCTCCCCCTACCGCATCCCAAAACCAGTCAGCTCGTCCCTGCCTCCCTAACCTGTTCTTCCTCCCACCTATCCTCTCCTCCCACCTCAAGCCGCACCTCCATCTCCTACCGACCAACCTCATCCCGCCCCCTTGACCTGTCCGTCCTCCCTGGACTGACCTATCCCCTTCCTAACTCCCCACCTACACTCACCTTTACTGGCTCCATCCCCGCCTCTTCGACCTGTTTGTTTCCTCTCCACCTATCCTCTCCTCTATCCATCTTCTATCCGCCTCCCACTCTCTCCCTATTTATTTCAGAACCCCCTTCCCCTCCCCCTTTTCTGATGAAGGGTCTAGGCCCGAAACGTCAGCCTCTCTGCTCCTATGATGCTGCTTGGCCTGCTGTGTTCATCCAGCCCTGCACCTTGTTGTCTCGGATTCTCCAGCATCTGCAGTTCCTACTATCTCTGATTACAGTTTGAACAAAACTACATTATTCCTGTTTATTCTTCCTGACCCATTTGGAGCATTTGACAAGATTTATCACACTAACCTTCTCTAACACTTCTATCATCCAAATGGATGGGACTAGGCTTGCCTGGTTTCATGATAATCTGTCATATGATAAGCTCAAACAATGGCTTCTCTTTGTATATTATGTTAGCTCTGGTTAACTTTGAAGGATCTATCCTTGACCCTTTCAGTTTGAAATCTATATGCTGTTCCTTCACAATATTATCTGAAACCAGAGCACCAGCTTTAAATATACACTGACAATCTCCAACCCCAGGTCACCATCACCTCTTGCAAACCCTCCACCATCTTTAAGTTGTTAAACTGCATCCAGAACTAGATGAGCAGAAATTTCTCTAACTAAATATGGAGAAGACCAAAACCATTGTCTTCATTCTTCACTAAGTCAGTTTCCTAGCCACTGATTTTACATCTTTCTGCAGCAACTGTCTGAGGTAGAAAAAGAATGTTTGCAATTTTAGTGTTTACCAAGATAGGCTTCTGTTCGCATCTTCATACCATCACCTAGATCACCTATTTCCATATATGTAACATCATCAAACTTCATCCCTGTATCAGGCGTCCACCTGAGATCCCCAGCATCAATTGAGTTAATTCGATTCATTCCTCATGATATCAAGAAACACCTAAAGACACTGAATATTGTTAAGGATATGGACACTGACAATGCTCGAGCAATAGTACTCAAACCTTAATCTCCAGAACTACCTGTGCCCATTTCCAACCTGTCTCAGACAACAAGGTGCAGGGCTGGATGAACACAGCAGGCCAAGCAGCATCTTAGGAGCAGAAAGGCTGATGTTTTGGGCCTAGACCCTTCATCAGAAAAGGGGGAGGGGAAGGGGGTTCTGAAATAAATAGGGAGAGTGGGAGGCGGATAGAAGATGGCTAGAGGAGAGGATAGGTGGAGAGGAAACAAACAGGTCAAAGAGGCGGGGATGGAGCCAGTAAAGGTGAGTGTAGGTGGGGAGTTAGGGAGGGGATAGGTCAGTCCAGGGAGGACGGACAGGTCAAGGGAGCGGGATGAGGTTAGTAGGTAGGAGATGGGGGTGCGGCTTGAGGTGGGAGGTGGGGATAGGTGGGAGGAAGAACAGGTTAGGGAGGCGGGGACGAGCTGGACTGGTTTTGGGATGCACTCCCCTCCAGCCCCACCACACCCAGCACTTTTCCCTGCAACCGCAGGAAGTGCTACACCTGCCCCCATACCTCCCCCCTCACCCCCATCCCAGGCCCCAAGAAGACTTTCCACATCAAGCAGATGTTCACCTGCACATCTGCTAATGTGGTATACTGCATCTGCTGTACCCGGTGTGGCCTCCTCTACATCGGGGAAACCAAGCGGAGGCTCGGGGACCACTTTGCAGAACACCTTTGCTCGGTTCGCAATAAACAACTGCACCTCCCAGTCGCAAACCATTTCAACTCCCCCTCCCATTCCTCAGACGACATGTCCATCCTGGGCCTCCTGCAGTGCCACAACGATGCCACCCGAAGGTTGCAGAGCAACTCATATTCCACTTGGGAACCCTGCAGCCCAATGGTATCAATGTGGATTTCACAAGCTTCAAAATATCCCCTCCCCCTACCGCATCCCAAAACCAGTCCAGCTCGTCCCCGCCTCCCCGCCTCCCTAACCTGTTCTTCCTCCCACCTATCCCCTCCTCCCACCTCAAGCCGTACCCCCATCTCCTACCTACTAACCTCATCCAGCCCCCTTGACCTGTCCGTCCTCCCTGGACTGACCTATCCCCTCCCTAACTCCCCACCTACACTCACCTTTACTGGCTCCATCCCCGCCTCTTCGACTTGTTTGTTTCCTCTCCACCTATCCTCTCCTCTATCCATCTTCTATCCGCCTCGCACTCTCTCCCTATTTATTTCAGAACCCCCTTCCCCTCCCCCTTTTCTGATGAAGGGTCTAGGCCCGAAACGTCAGCCTTTCTACTCCTATGATGCTGCTTGGCCTGCTGTGTTCATCCAGCCCTGCACCTTGTTGGCTCGGATTCTCCAGCATCTGCAGTTCCTACTATCTCTGATCCAACCTGTCTCAGTTCAACTACAACACTGGCATTTACCCAAACACAAAGTGGATAACTGCTCAAGTATGTCTTGTCCACAAAAAATAAGACAAATCCAAGCCAGGCAATTACTGCCCTGTCAGTCTACTTGTAGCTATCAGAAATGTCATGGAAGGAGGCACTTACAGTGCTATCTATGACACTTGCAAAGGTATAACCTGTGCAATAACACTCAGTTTAGATTCCACCAAGGTCAGATGGCTTCTAATCTCAATACAGCCTTGGGTCAAACATGGACAAATGAGCTAAATGCCAGAGGTGAGGTGAGAGTGAACTGTACCTTAAAGTTACTGAAGAACTGCTTCCACCAGATTCACTGCTTAGAAAAAAAAGAGTTCACCTCA